AACGAAAAAATGAATACGTCCAGTTTCGTAAATACCACGAGTAGCATACCAATACTACCTGAAAATCACAATGAACATTAACAAAATACATCAATAAAACGGTAAAGAATACAACAAGTAAGTCTTAGTCTCAATCCTAATCTTTCGTCTTTGTTTTTTATTCTTAACTTTTTCACTGAAATGCTCAATATTTAATCTAATGAGGCCTTGATCCTGCTCTGACTGGTGGGATAGCCACTTCAGACAGCCACAGTAACCATACGCACAACTATCCTATTCTATAATAGAAGTATTCTCATACTCAACATTAACCCCCAGAGAAAAACCGGACAGAAGAGAAGTCATCATTAGCACTAAGATGATCTTTTTGTTGACCATCTTAATGACTGGAGAGACGTCTACCACCCTGGTGATACTCTCCTCATGGTACATCGACACACACAAGCATCGATGCTAATGATGACAAAGAATTAAAGAAAAAATATTGGAGTCTAAGAAGCCCACTTTTATATATTGATTTGATTCATAAAACCAAAATAGGAATATTTAGGACAAAAGGCTGAGAGAAACCCTGACTAAATCATAAACATACCTGATCAGTAGATGTTGTAGTCGAAGACTTGATGTTACTTTGGATGTGTTCATTCACATAATGAATCTATCACTGCAAGATCACCTCTATTTATAACCCTGAAGATAGAATAAAAAGACAGACGACAGTATAACTTCAGAAAAAGACAGACCATGTTTAACGAAGAAAAAGAAAAGACAAATCGAGGTAGATAGAAAAACGACAGACGATGACATAATATGATAAATCCAGGGAAAGGCCATCTATCGGTCAATTATGAAAGAAAATAGTCTAGACTATTCCAAGGTCATATAACGGTCAAGGAAGAAAAAAGTCATGGCCTGGACGTCTTGTATATTACTATTTACGATTAATTAGAACAAATTTATAACTATTTATTTTAATTAATCAATGTTGAATGAAATTAAATAAATTGAAATTGATTGTGATAATGCTAAATAAATTCAGTATTTTCATAATAATTACAACGGTTTCGTTCTGATTTGGATATTTTGAACGAAATAAATATTTTATTTTTAATCGTAATAATTTTAACTTCGTTTGACTAGGAAAGGTGACATTTTAAATCAAGTGAATTATTATCCCAATTTCAGTTGCATTCATTGATCTTAGAAATCAGTGTCAATATTCGAAATCGATGTTAATGGTGTACTTCTAAAGAAATTTTCGAGTAAATACTTATCGGAACTGAAAAATGTTTATGTTTCAATACATTTTCACATTTGTACATATTACAATAGTTTTATCTATTTTCGTAACTTTTCGTATTAGTATTCATGTATTCAAATCTTAATTATTTCATTCAGTTGTAGTTATTTGATTCAACATAATTTTCAAATAAGACAAAAGTCTAATGATATTGGCTCATTCTATCTTCCTTTTGTAGAATATATTCTTGTTTAATGTTTGAATGAATCTTTTATAAAGATTGACTTTGAAATTCTTCTGCAACTATCTGTGAAGAATACTGTGATGATTTTGTTCAGAATGTAACCACAAATTACATTAAATACTTTAATATTAAATATGACTGTATCAGTGTTACAATTTGGTATAAATTGATTTTTTTAAAGCATTATATGAGTCAGTAAACGTTTTTATCAATAATGTTACAGACATTCGGAATTTTTCTATAATATACCAAGAAAGATCTGTATGTTTATGGAGATATAAATCGACACATTAGTACTATAAAACATAATGCTTCTATAAAATAATACGATGAAGTTTCAAATTTAAGGGTTGACTATTGAACCTTGGACTGTCATGTCTACCAATGAATGTTTTATCTGTTAGTATTCTTGTATTATTACAATGTAAAAATCATAGAATCTCAATATTTCAATTGGTTCTAATATAATTACAACTTCTGAAATTCTAAAGATGATGCTTTGAATATGATATTTGAGCTTCTATTCATCATCTTTTCAACATATTTCTCACGTAGTATAGTAGTTTACAAGCAGCTATGACTGTACCAACTATGCATTTCTGCTTAGTCTAACATTTTTATACAATGTTTCAGTTAAAAATTTCATGAATTTTAAAAGTTCTTCTAACTATATCAGTGAGTAATTCCATTAAACAATACACTACGTAGCACTAATCGAAATGCATAATTTTTTTGTTCAATCTGGTTGAACTTGATTTGTGATGAATTTTCTTGAAACAATATCACAGTATTGAATTCATTCTTTCTAAGAAATTCTTGTCATACTATCATACAGGTATCATATATACGTGTACTTTCAATCATCAAACAATAAGCAAAACAAATACGTACATCATATTAATAGACAGACACAATTATTATTACAGAAAAAAAAGTGATCATGAATTGCTTTTTGTTCTAACTATGCATTGAAATTTCTAATCACATAAATCAAATGGTTTATAATCGAAATGATCACGACTTTAAGAGTAGTGTTTGTATTTTCATTATATTTCTTTCTTTTTCAAGAACAATGATATGAAACTTTTGAAATGTCATTGTTATATTATTATATACATCTTTATAATCTTTTTTTGGTAAAGCACTAATGTCTTGAGAATATTAAGAATCAATTCAAGAAACAACATATGTTCATAACTTTTATTACAACTATTTACATATATACAATATTCAAAAGAAAAAAAAACGAAAAAAAAACAACTACAATATATACAAATATTTACAAATTTCAAGTTGATTTAGCTGTTTGACCTAAATCAGTTTGAGCTGGTTTTGCCTTGGTGGTTACCTTTATTCAAAAAAAACAAGAAAAAAAAACAATTTAAATAATAATTGTTATGTATGAAAAGATCATTTTGATACATACTTTTTGACCCGATGGTGATTTTTTGTGACCACTTGTATCGGTCACTTTTTTTTGCCGAGCATTTTCTATAATTTTAATTACAAGTTATATATGAATATCTTTTCTAGGTTTCTTACTTTGCCACGAACGCTTATAGATAGCATGTAATACTTCAGCCCGTTTAAAAACAGTCCGAAATAATTTTGTTTGTGGTTTTTTTGCAACCATACTATATAATATAATGTAGAAATTCACAAATATTATTTTTTTTATAAATCATAATATAAAAGTATCTTTTCTGAATGTCTATCAGTAAAATGTCTCAAATTCTATGTTGTCTTTATATTTGAAAGATAGTTTTGCATTGTAAGAAGAAAAAAAGTTTAGAGAAAATCCTAATTAGAAAATCAACCCACTTGATGTTGATGATATATTAATTTGACTATTTGTGATGTGACTAGATGAAATGAACATATTCTGAGAAATACACGTCTTTATACACGGATTAACACGGGACTATAGCGGCATCTCTAGGTAGCCGTCTAGAAGAACGAACAAGCCCTGGATGATGACCGAAGGTCATAGAACGGTTAATAGATAAAGTCACTACCTGGATTAACGGTTCTTCCTTTTGCGCGTCTATCACATTAATTGAATCACTTTTTGAAAATTATTTCAACGATTTTTACGCTAAATTAAATTAAATTAATTTTGAATATTTTTCAACATATTTCTTTATTTCATTTTGGATTAAATATAAACAGTGAATATTGACCATGAAAATACTACAAATTATCATGATCATATTTGTTTTCTTCGAAGAGACAATGAAGTTAGTAAAAGGCATGAATAGAAAACTGTACAATATCAAAGAAGATGTTTCAATCATAGGCAGAACAAAAACATGTCAATATAAATGCCTTAATTAATACATAGATTTTCGATTAAAATCGATATGCAAAATAATACCGATTCGAGACGTATAAATTAGAAACATTTTCAAGAACAGATCTTAATTTAATGGCAATCATAAATAGTAGACAATGAGGAAAACTCATATGTGCTTCAGTGGACACAAATTCTGCTGTATGTTAAGTAACCAAACTCAATATAGCAACATAAATACATTTTGGTTTTAATGATATGATTCTATTCTTTTTTATTTAATTAGAACTTTTTTTAATATAAAAATATTTGTATACAAATATATGTTACGATCAATATGAATTATATACATAGAGTCTTATGCTTTTGTTCTTGTCAGATATATCTTGGTGTCATGAATTTAGTTTCTTTTGATTTTTTTCTTTTGTTTTGACAATGATTGACTTGTTCGAACTAGTTCTTGTTGAAAACTTGGTTGATTTCTTGTGTCAACTATCAGTTTGTTGTTGATGATCGGTGTATGTAGAAATGAATAATCCTGTTGTTGTCGTTTCAGTAGCAGCTCTCGATACTCTTTTGATATTCAGGAATGGTTGGTTCAGACAGTAGTTGATGATGCAATAGTATGTATTTCATCATGTATGATAGGTAGAATGGACTTTGAAGTAAACGAATATTTACAAAGGAATTTATGAAAATGATAATGTACATATCTTGGAGGCTAGTTAGAAAATAAGAAAACTAAAACAGATGAAAATAGAGAATATGTATTCATATTTATTTGTATAAAACAAAATTATTATAATTGCTATGCAATTCATGTTTATGTTCCGCCTTCTTCTTCTTCTTTGATAATGGTCGAGAAATTCAGATATGTCATACTTGAAAGTTCAACTTTGCAATTTTTAAATTTACAAATTTTCGTGGCAAACTGTGGATACATCTGTCTAGACTCTCACGCTTATAGAGCAGTTGAGGGTGCGAGGAAGTGTGAATACGTCCATCTATACGCAACCACTCATGTGTAAAGTTGAAACTTGAAGTTTCAATTGAGTTCAAGCTTCAAGTATGACACTATGGTCCAAGTGAACGACATTTACATTTGAAATATTAGAAATTTTTCTTGATGAATTTTGATATCTTTATAGAAAGCATTTACGTATATTGAAGATGAAACTTTCCGCCAACAGTCTTATACATCCTGTGACAAACCATGCTGATGGTTTATTTTAGAGTGATTATCATGTTGAGACATGCGCATATGATATAATTTAAGATGAGAATATCATTCAAAGATAATTTTATTAAGGACAACAATTTCAACAAACAAAAAAAATAAGCAGAAGAAAAACAACACATAATTGAATAGAGAATTTTAATAATTATTGTCTATGAATTCCTTCGTGTAACACGATATCAACACCTGGTAACGTTAACGATGGAATGATGGCTGCTGTTGTGCTACGAATAGTTTATAGTAGATTCCATAAGACCATTATTGTATCGAAATTTTCTAATGTGGATGATGTACGTATTTGATTAATTAGCTTGATGATTCGATGTCATAATCGAAGAAACTAGGAATTCTAGTTTCATATGCATATCTATAAGAACAGTTGAACCAATATTTCATAGTTTTACTATTATAGAAATAACAAGGAAAACTTGAATGAAAATAAGCAATATCAAAAGTCTGTTTAGAGAAAACGAATTCTTGTCTACTATCTAAGTTCTGTATGTGTTTCTTATTTCGATAGCTTCTGATTAGGTTTTCCTATTAATGGTATCTGTTGTTTTTCTTGAAATTCTTCTATCTCGTGAGTAATATCTTGTTGTTGACTTGAATTTACTTCGCAACAATATTCGTCCATCTATAAGAGAAAAAAAAAGAGATTTATCAAAAAACTATACAACAGACTGTCGATTATTTGACTTAACTTAAGTCGTGGAATTTTAACATAACATTTCATACAGTCAATTAATTTTACTGATACAACTTGTGTGCCAATTTGTTCACTGGAAATGATATTTTCTTCTTGTGTATTTTCCTTTATTGCATGTAAAGTAGCCATATTGGACACTGGAAATGACTAATTATATCTAACACTAAGAATTTTACTCCTTTAAAAAAAACTATTTCTCTTTTACTTGAACGATAGATTGACTATGTTCACAGGAGTTTGTCAATATAAGACTAGAATCAACTGAAACAAAACGAAAAGCAAAATCTTCATTCAATACTGCTCTTCAACGTGTCTGTTGTCTTCAACCTGAATTTTCTTGTTGACTTTGATGTGATCGATGCTGTTGTTGTCGTGTATAGTAAGGCATCAATCCTTTTTGTTTTTGCTTTTGTAAATGATATCTATGACATTAAGAAATATAAACCCAATACAATAATCTTCTTCGAGTAGAAAACAAAACTATTCTTTATTCAAAAACAAAAATCATGAATCTCCTTTACAACAAAAATAAATGATTAAATCAATTCATTTTCATATAGTCTATATCAAAAACAAAAAGAAGTCCTATTAAATATCATCTTGATATAATAATAATAATAATAATAATAGAAAATCAAAAGTAGTTCTCCCGTTCAATAGAACTAGATATTTCTTCTTTTGTCAATAATGTATTTAATGTATGATAATGTTTTGGTCTTAGAAGAATTTTGACTTTATCTTTCGATAGATTTGGATGATTTTTAAAATAGTCCAACCAAATATGATAGAATTCTTTATTGAATTGACATCGTGGACCCATTTCATACAAGTAATTTAAATGGATTAAATGGCCTTGATCATCGAATTTCTGGAGTTCATCTGTAAGTGCATATTGCATTTGCATATAATCAAACCATTGACGACGAAGTTGTTCATAACTTGTTTGATTCATTGAATAACGCATATTAGGTGTATGAAAAAAATCAAAAAAATGTTGCACATGTGTTTCAACAAATATTAATGAAAGACCATTCATCAGACATGTTACTTCGTGATAGACTCGCTCCTGATGAAAATCTTCAATCGATGACGAACAACAAATGGCATGAATTAAAGCTGTTCGAAGCCAATCACTATAAGCTAATTTTGAATGTGTCATAACATAAGGTAATGTATAACTTTGTATACTTGAATCATGATATATTCGACTATAGAATTGGCCTTGACGATTTTCAACATAAGTATTTAAATAATGTACACTTGTACTAATGGACATTTGAAAATTAACATTTAAATTTTTAGCAAGAACTTCGTGTTGTAGAAATGTTTCAAGTTCTAAAGCATTTGATTTATTCCATGTGAAAAAGATTTGATTTTTATATCTAGAATGAAGTCATTGATAGAAAATACATATTAAAAACACTGGATGATTTACCTTCCAAATATTTCATCACTTGAAATCAGATGTGTTAATAATTTGGTTTGCCATGTATATAAATAAATGTTTGACAATGTTTCTGTTAATGCCATTGTATGTGGACTACCTTTTTCAATTTTATAAATCTTATTCTTATACGAAAAGATATTATTATTAAGAAACAGAAATAATAGATTTTTAATCGTCATTATTGAAATTTGTCCAATCTTATTAGTAAGTAAATTGTCTTGTAAGAAAAAAATAACTTTATTCAATATTTTTTCATGAATATCTAATGTATAGAAATTCGTTATGGTCATTGTACCGAATAGAGTTGTTGGACGAAGACGATGCTCTACATGTACATAATGATTTAATTTTCGAATAAAATCAATTTCATCTCGAAATGTTGTTGATTTTAAAGTTTTCTCCACAATAGGTCGTAGTAAACGATTCAAAAACTGTCCAATTTTCCATGTTGCACTATGTTGTGCCGAAATAAATGATTGTAACGATATATCTTTACCCTAGTAAATAAAGTGATGATAAAAACAACAACAATAAATATATACATAACTATAATTTATTTCATTTTCCTTTAGAAACATCTGGTAAGAAATATAAATATGGAAGTTTAATTTTGTTTGCATCAAGAAGAAAACTATCAATAGTTTTATTATCTAATGATTTATGTTCTCTTAATTTTTCTAATAAACCATTCATTGTCGTAACCATTTTATTGATTTGTTTTGATATTTGTTAAACTTTATTCATATCATTATCCTCTATACATAATACGATTCCATAGGCATCTGATTTTGTTAGATATTTATTTGCTTTTGTTTCAAAATCTGCACGACTACCTAAATAGAATGTATTCATATTATCAGCTGTTCGTTGTAAAATAAGATTATTTTGTAAATCCATCAGGAAGAGCAGTAGGAATAATGTAAGAAATAATTGAGTAAATAACTGCTACGAAGTACATTTAGAATTTTTTTTTCCAAAATTCAAAATGTACTTCGTAGCAGTTATTTACTCAATTATTTCTTACAAGATTATTTTGATTTAAAGAAGTACGAATAGATTGAATTAAATTCTTTTCATTTAATGCACGCTGTTGAAGATTTGATGGTATCGATATTGAAAACAATTGTTTAAATCTATCAAATAGTTTTTGTTGAATTTCCATTGATAGTGCTAGATTAATATGATATTTCAAAAATAGACTAGCTAATTGATGTTTTAAAGGTGCACATTGTTGCTTAATAACATCATCTATAGATCGACAAGACGTTGAAATATACATTTGACATACGGGAACATAATTTGGACCACGATTTAATAATTGTATTTGTTCACTAGTAAACTGATGTGTAGTATCAATAATCATATTGAATGATAAATGATTGATTGCTGTCATTTTTTCATAATCATTCTGATCTATATCACCTAATGTATCATAGGAATTTCGAAGATGATAATCAATTCTATAATTGTAAATATCACGCCAACGATTTCTAATATTTGCCAAGTTTCGTTCAATTAAACTACTTAATGTTGTCGGCATGCCTTGATTTTGAACAAGATTACGATGATTTTCCCACATTTTTGCTAATTCATAATCAAATATATGTTGACTTCGATAGAATATATTTTCAATGTCTCGAATACGTCTACTCATTGAATCAAGTTTCATATATTGATTCAGTTTATCTTCTTGATTCAAAAATTGCTGTCGAACATTTTGATTCAATACAACACATTCATTGTATATGTTTAAATTAGTTAGTTGTGAAGAACTCAACAATGTAAGTGATTTATTAAAGAAAATTCGTTGTTTTAATTCTAATAATTCACGTTTTACTTTTTCAAATTCACGTTTTGTAACAGAAAGACGCTTTGCTACTTGAATCTAAATCATAATTTGAAAGAATGATTATAATAAACTTATTGTCCATTTCATTTCTTACTTGATATTCATTTGGTTTTTCTTGAACGTATTCACGTTGTATTATTTCAGATTCATAATTATATTCAGTTAATGCTATTTTAAAATCTCGTTTCATTTTCATTGGTTTAATTCCATATTGTTGAACATAATTGTAAATATGTTGTTCAATTGAAGGCGTAAATTCAATCAAAGAATTCTTCTTTTCAACTAATTCGTTTTGATATAGTTCAATTTGTTGACGCATATCTTTGATTTCTTGTTGAAGAAGATTTTCACATAGAACTTGTTCATTTTCATTTTCTGTTTCTGTAGTTGTAGCAATGGATTTTTGATGTGTTAACATCAGTGACTTGACTTGCAGAGGCCATACTCGACAATCGATATTGGTTAAAGTACATTCGGGTTCTTTTAATGTGCCTGTTACTGATTTGAAATAAACTTTTGTAATAAGTCTTTTTATTTCCATCTCAGCAATACGATGCATTATTAAAGCAATTTGTTGTATATCATTTATATTCAATGTACTCAGAGATTTAATTATACTTTCGGTTAGCCGAATAAATAATTGATTTGTTGTTGACAAATATAGGGGTATATGTTCTTGTTCTATATCATCATCATCATCATCATCATCATCATCATCATCATCATCATTCTTCTCATCAACATCAGAATCGTTCGATATTTTCATTTTCTTTTTAGTAACAATCGGACTTGATGCAGTATTTAGTGTATGTCGTCTTTTATTACTATTCGACGATATTGTTTCATATTCATTTTCCATTGACAATTGACTTAATTTTTGTGAGAGAATCAATTCTTCATTTTCAATTCGTTCTCGTTGTTGTTGATGATTCTTGTGTTGGGACTAGACAAGGAAAAATAGAAGATTTAGAATTTAGAGTGACGATGAATATAAAAATCATTTTTACTGGAGCTTGATTTTCATCCTTAAAACAACCATTGTCAATGATTTCTTCTTCATGTATTATATAATTTAAATGACCAGATTGAAAATATCGATTTAATTCTTCCGTTGTATATTCAAGTGCATCGAAATTTTCATCAATGATATCAAAAATATCATCATATCTTTCAATAATATCGCACTATATCAATAGATATAATAAAGATTTTTCATGACTTAATTTTAGACGTACTTTGATTTGTTCAAATAAATTTTTGTTTGTAGTTGACTTTGAATTATTCACTTGTTGTGCCATTCTCAATAGATCTGAAATAATGCAAGAGTCATATTTTCAACTAGGACTGTGTGTTCATTTCTTTCTATCATCAGATTTCGATTCTTTTAATTACAGAAATCCATACAAAAACAAAAACAAAAATACATGATAGTCTCTTGATATTTACTATTGATCTGTAGTAAGATCAATGAAATATTTCATTGGAAATGGACGTGTGGTACGTTGTACATAATCATTCATAAGTTTACGTAAATCTATAATAAATTGATCGTCTATTGATATATCTTGTACAGGAGCCTTTACTGATACTGATGGAGATGGATCAGTCTTATTCTTCTTTTCTTGTTGTTGTTGTTGTTGCATCTAGAACAGTAGTTCTATGAATGATTCATCATAAGATTGTTTCGTTATTCTTACTTGCAAATTTCGTTTTTGAATAATTTTTGACCATCTTGGATTATTAAATACAATAAAATAGTATTGTCGATTATTATCCTGATCAGTTTTAGCTGTAGTTGTTGTTGTCTTCTCTTCTGTCTTACATTCATCATGACTACTTGATAGTATTGTATGTTGATTTAATAAATTTAAAATAATTGTAGTTAAATCTGGTACACTCGAATTCATGGATAAATAATTACAAATCAGTTAATTTAGTAACAATAATAATGAGTAGTAATCTTGAAAAGTTCAGTAATATCTGATTTTAGTATAGAAGTTTTCTAATGTTTCATCAGTTTTTACATGATGACTTCAACAAACAACACATATACACAAGAAAAACAAGAATACAAAAGAATTATTCAAACTCTTATAAACGTTGTACTGGTACACCTGAGAAATCAAATACTAAACTGATGGGATAGGGTTGTCTTGTTCTTTGAAGATATGCTTGAATTATTTCTTGTAATTCGAATCTAAACGTATTGTATAAGAGTTGTTCATGTCGTTCTTCAAAATGACGCGTATCTACATATGCTGACTCATTCGATCCGGACATATCATTCACATGTTGTGGATGCTAGATTAAACATAGGAAACGTTTATATAACGTATGATTGAACTTTGTGAATGAATCTCATATTACATGCTCAGGTAATTCTTGAAGTAGTCTTGTACGTTGTAATAAATTTGGAAAATTTGTTGCAGTTATTACAAAATATCGTTGTTGTGTAACTGTCATTGGTAGATTAGAAGATGCCATGAATAATCTATAACATGGAAGAGTAAATATTTCGTTTTGAAAGAATATATTATTCGTTAGAAACATAATTAGAATGAAAATCAAAAAAACAAATTTTGAAAAGATACAAAAATTTGTATGAAGATGGTGTTTTTTATTTATTTTTTGAATCTTTCGGTGACCAAGTCATTCCTTGTTGAAGCCATGCTGGAACAAATAAATATTTATCATTAACTGAATCAGGTAGTTTTACATATGAGATGTTAGGCGAATGAACAACACACCAATCACACATAGTTTTGTCGACCAAATAGTATAAAGAACGATATTATATCTATAAAAGAACTAGATGGTATTCGAGTTTCATTCGAGTACGAAACGCGGTGCGAAGCGGGTGTGGGTGTGGGGTGTGGGGTGTGGGTGTGTTAAGCTACCATGATATCGATATTTCATCTCAGCAACGAGACTTTTCAAATGGCAGTCATAACGAAAAAATTCAAAAGAAAATTTCGAAGTACGTACTAGGATGATTGCTTTATAGATAAGTGTGATGTAA